GAAACTCAATAGCTCCAAATGTAAAGTCATTAAAATCAATACCCGGTGCTCCAACACACATGCTCCAACACACATGCTCTATCTCCCATACTCAATAACTCGAAATTGTATACAGCTATAAATACCTCGGAATCCTGCTCAACAAGAATCTTGATTGGGATGAACAACGGATAAAGGTGCACAACACCATAAAATCAGTGTCATTTCTACTCAAGTGCCTTAAGCAAATCAGACACACTCAGCCCAACCTACTACAAGTCTACAAATCTTACGCTATTAGCCACATGATATATAGTGCCCCAGTTCTTACCTCTTGCAGTTTTGCAGCAAAAAAAGAGATTCAACATTTCCACAAAAATGCCTTACACATCATTGGAGTTGATGCAAACAACTCGCGCCGTCTCAATTGACATTGAAGAATTACTTGACAAGTCATGTATTAATATCCTTAAAAAGATCCTTGCAGACACAAAACCATACGATAACCACTAAATTACTTTGCACCAATAGCAGAAACCCAAACAGATTCCCATTTGCTCTAAATACCGCAATCACTACTACCTATCAGCAATCCTTTATTCAAAAATACCTATGTATTCTTCGTGATGGTGTCAGTGACCTCTATCTCCCACGAAACATAGGCAGTTGCTTTTTCAATACATAAATGATCAGTTCTTTTTTCTGTATTTTTAGCTAATTTTCACTCATCATTTAACATTAGATAAAATTATACAATTCATTATTTGTAATGCTAAACAATTTTAAATAAAGATTTATAAAATATATATATACATATATATAAATATATTTATATACATATATATATATATATATATATATATATATATATATATATATATATATATATATATATATATATATATATATATATATATATATATATATATATATATACATATTATATATATATATATATATATATATATACATATTATATATATATATATATATATATATATATATATATATATATATATATATATATATATATTTTTTTTTTTTTTTTTTTTTTTTTCAAGTGCATCAAAAAACAACAATTTTTAAATTAGCTTTGTCTGGGATCTAAATATGTTCTATATAACAAAAATGCTATATATAATAACACTGACCATTTAGATGTTCAAGGGTCTTTATATAGTGTTATTTTATTATCTAGCACACATTTAGAGCTCAAGTGAGGTAATTTTTAAAAATTGCTAACTATCATATAGCCTGCTGCAACATTGCAGTTTGCTTTTAGTTTAACCAATAAACTTCTTGATATAAGTTTAAGAGTGTTATAGAGTCGATTATAATTAATATTTATAAAAATTAATATTTATAAATATGTAGCATAATATTTATAAATATCTTATAAACAAATATCTTATAAAAATCTAGCGTAAAAAGTTTATCAAACTAAAACTTCACTTTAAGTTTCGATTTCGTGCAGGTTTGATCACATTCTATTAACTAATAAATATTTAAAATTTAAAAACATCAAAACGTTGCAGAAGTTAATAAACTAGATACTTTTACTTGTATAAACTAAACTTGTTAATAAATAAATACTTTCACTTGTATCGTCGAATCAGTTAAGCTTATATTTAAGTCTATTTATTAAAAAAGTTCAAGTTAAACGCAAATTAAAATTAAAAAAAAATTTCAATAAACAATATGTTTAGCAAATATAATTGCTATGTAACTTTGAATTGAAACTTTTGGAAGCGTGCTCACAAACAACAAAAGAAAAAAATGTTATGTCACTATTTTCACAACGCATTTCTCAAAATATACTTCAGTATATAAGTTATTTATATATTATATTTGTATAAGTATATATATACTTACATTAATATATATTATATTAACATAAGTTTTTTATATATTTATTAAAAATATAATCAAGTATATAAAATATTATTCACTTGATAATAATTAAATAGCGCATCCAGTTTAAATTAGAAAACAGTTTTCTATTTTGTACAAGCAATGAAGGAAAAGTTATTGATGCTAACAAATACAATGGAATGTTTACTTTTTTCAAAACATTTTGTCCTAACGAGAATAGAAAACTTAAAATAGATAATTAAAACTTGATTGAATTTCGAAAAATCAAAAGTAATCACAAGATTTTTAATCACAAGATTTTCTAAAAACTTTTTAAAAACTTTTTAAAAGATTTTCTAAAAACTTTAGGTTCTTTTACTTTATTGTTTTTTATTTTCAAACATCTTTTGTAAATAAAAAAATTCTTGATATATTTTTTTTAAAACTAATATTTATCTTTAAATTAAATTTAAAACATTTGTTGTTTAGAATGCCCACAATCAAGCATGTTAATTCAAATCCAAAAAGAAAACCTTTTGAATGACCCCCTCCCCATACTTGCATAAGCAATTTATGAATGGTTCCATGGCAACCAATTTCTAACTTTGAATATCGCTCTCAAAGACTTGATGCTGGGCACGCATAATCACGCTCCTTGATAATGTATTTCAGTATTAGGAGCGCAAAATATTGCGCTGGGCAATTTTATTCATCACATGTGCTGCGTTGGCAAATTGTTGAACCAAAATAATGCAAATTAAGAGTGAAATCTTTAAGTAATAAATGATGGGAAAGTCATATGAATGTTCATTCTTTTAAATTGGGGTTATAAGAAATTTATTTTACATCAAAGGAAGTTGTTATACACATTAAAAAAGATTCCATTAATAGACTAGAACTGCTGAATTATTTGCATCAAAATTTGACAGTTTTGAACTTATATGTGTTGTTGGAGTTGGGCATGATGTATTAACTGAAATTAATTGCACTAACAAACTATTAAAATCTTGAACTGTTGACATAAAGATTCTTGCAAATGGGTTAAACAAAACATGGACTTTTTAGTTAATAAACACTCTAATGATTCTTATAAAATCAGGCTTTTCCAGGAAAGACGTGCGGTCGCACGCCTTGTTTGTCCACGCATAGAATAAATTTTTCAGAAAACGTGACCGCGGCAATATTTCGTGTGAAAGCGGAAATTATCCACAGAGAATAAAAAAGAATATTAAAAAAAGGAAACGAAGTCTAAACAAAGTATAAAATTTAAATTGGATGTAAGAAAAATATTTTGGTAATAAAAAAAAAAAATTTAAAAAAAAAACATTCTTTTAACTAAAAAAAAAAAGTCATGAACATTTTTTTCAAAATTTTTATACTGTTTTTGTTTGCTTTTTTAAAGGTTGCTATTTTCAGCTACGAAATTTGATACAAGTCAAGGAAAAGACGACGATAAGTCATAAAGCTTTCACGAAAATAAAAAGACCCGATACGCAACCTACGCACGAACTTTATCAGACAAAGTATTAAAAAACTGATTCATTATTTACGCTAGACAAATTTGGTTAAACTTTTTCATTTACTTTAGTTTTTACAAAGGTTTATGCAAAGGCGTTGACTTTATTCCCCAATACTTTGACAAGAAAATAAATTGCTGTTTTAATTATTAAATATATTATTTGAGATTTTAAACATAACAAAATTTTAATGTGAAAAAAGTTCTTTCTCGACTTATTCTAAACTGAGTCAATGCTCGCCTTTTATTACGTTGAAATTATTTAATTGCATAATTTTGTAATTACGAAAGAAGTTAAAAAAATAATTGCATTGCTTCTGTTGTCATTGTTACGAAAACAGTTCCTTTGGGACATTATTATATAATAACACTCGTTCACAATGTCAATTAATGATTGCAAAATAAGCAACTCAATCGTTTGACAATAAAATTTTCTTTCATTTAAAAAAAAAACAACATATTTTACTAATAAATAGCAATCGTTTTCGTGTTTTCTTGTGTATCAATACATTCAAACATTTAAATCAATACATTCAAACACTTAAATGTATTTACGAAACATTTAAAAATTGTTTATAGTTCTATCGTTAATTTTAAAGTATTACTGACTGATAAAAGTCATAAACAAATTTTACATTAAAAGGTCCTTTTGTTTTCTTTAAACATAAATCTTTTTTTTTTTTGATTTTATTTTTCTTATTGATTTGATTTTTCATAGCTAAAATAACTACCACCCTAAAAAAATAAATAAATAAAATATAGGTAAATTTTTTTTTAATAATAAACATTAATTTTTTAATTTTAAAGCACAAACAGATTTCTGTTATTTACTTTAAGATTGCTTGCATTTTTGAAGTATTTTCGTTTAGCTTTGTTTTGGCGCGAATTCTTGAAACGCATAAAAATAAAACGTGGTCAATTAATCAGAAAAATTTATTCTATGCGTGGATAAACAAGGCGTGTGACCGCACGCCTTTCCTGGGAAAGCCTGTAAAATATACATTTCAAAATCTAAAACTCTAGCTAATGATGCAAATTTGACTGATGATTGTAATTTCTTTTATTTAATGACAAAGCCCAAAATGCTTTGCAATGTATCTAATGCTTTAACATTAAATAAAAGGATTGGAATACAAATCGTTAAAACATAGGCCTTAAAACTAACTTTTGAGTTAAAAATTTAAAAATTATTGTTAAAAAAATGGTACAAAAAATGTAAATGAATATATTTATAAATATTGATTTAGGTAAAATATTTGTAGAATTTAATAATATTTATGAAGTTTAGCCCTGGCTCAAGTCAAATGGTCATTTACTATTTCAATATCAAATAGTCATTTACTATATTTAATGATCATTTACAAATTTAGAATATATTTTACATTATTGATTCTTTTATTCTTTTTTATGATGTAATAACTCTGATTTTTCATCATAAAACTCTAAAAACTCAAAAATATAAAAATATAAGCATAACAAAATTTTCATGAAAAAAACTTTTTTAAATAATTAGCAAAATGTATTAAAACAAAAGTTATGTTTAACTTTATTTTTTTGACAAAACAACAGATATTTTAAAAACATTTAAAAAACCATTTTTAATAAAACAAAATTTATAAAACGCAAAAAAAAAAGAAATCTAATAATTACTCACAAATGATGTTCCTCCTGTATAAAAAGATTTAACAGTTGATTCTAACTCATAGCTAAATTATAAATAAATTAAATATTATACATACGATTTTCTCTCAATACTAAATTTATTTTTTATTTTTTATAAGAAATTTTTGCTGGATTGTTGTGACCAGCGTCTTCAGCTTAAAAGATTATTTTTGTTTTTGTTTATATGTTATTTTTAAACTGCAATTTTATTATATGTCAATGGAATGGTTTCGTCTTTTTCTGACGTAAGTGCATTAGAAATGGTGTCCAGAATTTTGTTGACACATATTGTCCCTCATCTAAATTGATACCAATTTGTTATATCAAGCCTTCCCAGGAAGGGCGTGTGGTTTTTTGTCTTGTGTGACCACACGCGAGTATATTAATTTAGACAACTTGAACAAGGCTGTTAGCAAGTTTCATAATAATGCTGAAAAAGTTTCAAAATATATATATATATATATATATATAATATATATATATATATATATATATATATATATATATATATATATATATATATATATATATATATATATGTATATATATATATATGTATATATATATATATGTATATATATATATATATATGTATATATATATATATATATATATATATATATATATATATATATATATATATATATATATATATATATATATATATATATATATATATATATATATATATGAGATTTGAGGACTTTTTTTTTTTTAACGATTTTTTAAGTTTTTACAGCAAATATTGTTTTTTTCACACAAAAAATGCTGATTTTCAGCTAAAGTCTTCCAAAATGAGGGGGACCACCGCCCAAGATTTTTTCCTAGAATAGGCCCTGTATATATATATATATATATATATATATATATATATATATATATATATATATATATATATATATATATATATATATATATATATATATATATATATATATATATATATATATATATATATATATATATATATATATATATATATATATATATATATATATGTATATATATATATATATATATATATATATAAAATATAAATATAAATATAAATATATATATATATATATATATACATATATATATATATATATATATATATATATATATATATATATATATATATATATATATATATATATATATATATATATATATTATATATATATATATTTTGAAACTTTTTCAGCATTATTATGAAACTTGCTAACAGCCTTGTTCAAGTTGTCTAAATTAATATACTCGCGTGTGGTCACACAAGACAAAAAACCACACGCCTTTCCTGGGAAGGCTTGATATATATATATATATATATATATATATATATATATATATATATATATATATATATATATATATATATATATATATATATATATATATATATATATATATATATATATATATATATATATATATATATATATATATATATATATATATATATATATATATATATATATATATATATATATATATATATATATATATATATATATATATATATATATATATATATATATATATATATATATATATATATATATATATATATATATATATATATATATATATATATATATATATAAAAGCTTGGTCAGGAAGGTATTATCACACTATTGTATGACTATCTAAATAACAATTTTTTTTTTGATAATTTGACCATGGTTGTTAACAAAAAGAAAATAAAAAGAACTAAATTAAAATAAAAATTTAACTTAACTAAAGTAATATACAAAACAATAAAACACAATGATAATAATAATTAAAGCCACAGTAAGGTAACAATTTATTTCTAAACATTGTTTACTAAATGCGCACATTTAATTTAAACTATAGTGTTTTTTTTTTTATTTATTTGAAAAAAAATAAGTTTGCAAAATAATTACATGATAGTAAATAATTATGCATAAAAAAAGTTATATTTAGTTCTTTATTAAATCACTTCAGGCTTTGTTTAAATTTAAATATTTTAAACATTCATTTGTTTGTTTCTTCTTTCTTTCTTTATTCTCTTTTTTTTTTTTAATAAATATAAATAGAAGAAAACTACGAATAATATTTGGTAATACGTTGTTAAAAAAATCATTTGCAGTAATTTTAGAAGTATTTTAATAAAACAAATTATTAGTAAAGATCAAAATTATTTAACTGTAACAGTTTTTAAAAACATTGGTCACTTTATTCAATAAAATTGTGTATCTTTTTGAGAGTCTAAGGGTGTCTCTTAGAAAAGAATTTGTCTAAAAAAGTACTTATTTATATAATCAAGTATTTGCTTTATTGCTGAAGTTTATGCTTTAGCAATAAAGTACTTACAGTCATCCAAAATCACAAATGCAATTATTGTTTAGAGTAATTTTGAATGTCATACAAGACCAATCATAGAAACTAAAAACAATCCATAATATATTAAAATCTTTGACAATGTGACAATTTGAAAGTGTGAATGAAATTTATTTGCAACATTTTATGAGAACTCAATATGTAACGGCATTGGTAGAACAGCTAAAAAACTTGTTTCAAATATTAATTTTTGATATATAATTGACTAAAATATTTCATATGTTGGAGAAATGATCATATCTGGCATCCATTTTGTGATTTCAAAAGATAAAAATACTTCTTCATTCCATAAATAATTGACTCCCAGATTCAATAATGCAAAGACCTTACCTGGTACTAAAAAATTTCTATCAATTTATCTCCACAGGATGTAATTAACATAAATCTTAAATATAAAAAATTCTATATTTCTTGTTTAACCAGTTATTCTTAATTAATTTTTTAAAAAGTTTAAAAAACAATTCAGTTTTTGCTAATTTTTTATGGTTGACCTTCTACTTCTATTTTAAAAATTTAAAAGATATAAAAAATAAAAGTCTTTGCAAAAGTTTCTTTGCATATAAAGTTATGCAACTTTTCTTTCAAATTTATGCTATTCAAATTTTGATTGGATGTATTTGATTTTTAATCGTTGCGTTTTAGAAAAAAAAGTTTAATCTGAAGTTTTTTTCTTAAAAAAACGTTTTAAATAAGTAAAACGACAGATTGTTTCAAATAAAAAGTTTTATCTGAAGTCTATTTTTAAACAAAACGTTTTAAGTAAACAAAAAGACAGATTGCTTCAAAAAATCTTAATTTCCTTTTTTTTATTTATTTTTAATCATTATTCAAGCTATCAAGAAGGCTATTCAAGATTTCTTTTTTTTTTCACTTTTCTTTAATGAAGTCAAGAATAAATCTTCTTTTAAAGTGCCAGTCAGTAGAAGTTCAGTTAAGTCCTAAAGTTTTAACAATTCTAAAGATAAACAGTTAGTCTGAAGGAACACCGCTACCTAAAAGGCTTTATAAAAAACAAACTGGGTGATCAAATTTTGAAATTTTCTGCTTTACTCTAAAACGCAGTGAATAGCTAGTTAAAAAAAATTCTAGAAGCAGTTAATAAGTATACCTCAAAGAGATTGAATGATTGTATCATTCTTGCTAGAGTATTTTGGCAAAAGTTAGCCTCAGGACTTCAAAAAAGAGAAAAGTATTATGTGTTTGGTTGATGATGGAATATAATTAGTATTAACTTTCTAATTAAGTTGTTGTAGTTGGAAAGCTTTGGAAAAAACCCATTTAATTTCAACAGTAAATGTATACTTAATTATTTAAACCATATAAAAAATGAAGGTTCGCTTAGTTTAAAAATATTTTGGAGAATTATTGTCCAGTTATTTATCCAAAAAGTTGAAACTATGGAATATAGTTGAAACCAGCTACAAAAACAAATAGATAACAATGGAAGAGCAACAAACTTTACATCAGGTGTGCAAGATGAGTTCTGTTTTATCTTGATTAAAGTTACAAAGCAGCCCATTTAGCTGTGAACTAGACATTATTGAAGTAGATAAAGATATGTTAAAATGAAAAAAAAGTTTGAAAAATGAGGTTCTTTATTTTATGGATACAATGTAGGTCATTGTTGCGGAGGTCTATTCTGTTTAAATACATGATTGTTGATATAAAAATACAAACCTCCATCTTATGTCTACCAAAGAACACGCTAATAACCTAGATGTTCTATAAGGAAAGTTCACACAGCAATCTCTATCACATATGATGACTTTTATAGTTATTTTCCATTTTCAATAGTAAATAACAAACTGTATGAATTATTTTCATATATAATGCTTAATTTTTTTTGTTACTTATAAATGATAAGGTATATTATTGATAAATTAAACAGAAAAAGATTTCTAGTTTTCTACTTTTCTTATATTTAATGATAATAATAATTTGATCTATTTTTAACAATGCCTTTTTTTGTCAATATATTCACTTTTATTAAAATCGAAATAGAAGGCTAAATAATTAAAATGAAAAAAAATGATTATGATTTTCAAAATCAGCATAAAAAACTAATACAGAAAAATTGGTTAAACTATAAAAATCTAAAAAAAGACGATTATGGACCCCCCTTAGTGTAAATAATCCAAAAAGGTTATAAACATAACAAAGATAAAATCTCTAAAAAAGTAAGCATGACTTGAGTTCATCTGCTACCCTAATAAACACATTAAAAGTTGTAAAAATTTGTAAATTTAGAATATACAAGCAAATAAAATTAACTATAAAATTTACTATAAGAATACTTCTTCTTATCAGAAAATAATAATGCAGAAGAAAAAAAAGTACAAAAACTTAAAAAACACGTCAATAATTTATTTTGTTTTAAATGTGATGCAAAAAAATTCAAAAATTGAGTTTTGTTTTAAAGTCTATGCTAGACTTTAAAACAAAACTCAACAGACTCAACAAATGCCTTTAATAATCATTCTCAAAACAGAATTTAAATTTACAAATATAAAGTAAACAAAAAAACATTAAAAGTCATTCACAAAAATCAAATCAAACAATATGCAAAGGAATAAAAACACTTTATACATAATTTCTAAACAAAATTCCTAAGTACCATTTCTTCAAGAAATTATGCATCAATACTTGATTTAAATAAAGGATAGGCAATGCTTTTTTCCAGGGAACCTTGTTAAAATTTTTTATTTTTTTATTTAAAGTTAAAAGTTTCTCTGCATTTAAAAACCTTAAAGTTTTTAAATGCTGAGAACTCAGAAATTATGTATGAATGTTGCAATTATGTATGAGTTCCCCATTCAATTAGAATCCTTATCCTTTTTTTAATCTATACGAAAATATTAAACATATTAATTTTTATATATGGTTGGAAAGAAGTTAAGCCAAACTAATTGATGAAAAAACCCTCAAGATTCTAGCTTTATTACAAAAAAAGAAAGTAAAATTTATAAAAATATGTTGTTTTTTTGTCAAAATCAAACTGAATCTTGTTTTGGTATATATTAGTCTATCACACAGTATATACCATGGAATAGTAATAGTAATAGTAATGATGTAGCACTTTAGATTATACCATAATTTTTGGCTTTTTAAATGTATATACCTTGTGAATTGTTACATTAAGTTACTAAAGTAGTTGGCATATTTTTATAATTTAATGAATTTCTTAATTTTTTTTTTTTTTTTTTGTAATTTAATCACTTTGATAAAAAAAATCTTTATGGTATAATACTTTACTTTTAAATAGAACGTTATATATATAAATATCTCCGAGATTAAATGTAATTTTAAAAAGTTCAAGTGTAAATTTGCATTTGAAAATATTTTTTTAGAAATCAACCTTACTTTTTTCTTAAGGGATCTGTAACCATTATAGAAACAGAATTGCTTGAAAATTTTCAATGCTTCTTTAACTTTATTGAATAGATAAGTAAACCAGTAAAGATAAAGTTTTAATAAATTCAGTGCAATACAGATAAGGTTTTTTTCTGAACAAACATAAATAAATAAACTTGTAAAACAGATTACATGTGGTACTAGTGTCTTCTTGACTCAATAATAATATTGTCTCAATCACCACAAACAATTTTTTTTTTTTTTTTTTTTTTTTTTTTTTTTGCGTTTCGAAATAAGGGGGAAGAAAGCTCTTTTTAATTATATCTTAATTTTAGAAATTATTAGTGGATTTATAGTTCTTAAGGTGTAAGCTATTGAACGTATTTTAATTTCTGAATAAATTTTTTATAAAATTGATACTTAAAGATGAGGTAAAATCAAACAATGAACTCTATTTGCTCATCAGGTCCTGCAGCTAACATTAGAGAAGCAAAACATCGAATGAAACCTGAATTGGTCAGAAATTGTTTGAAAAGGCAATATTTTTTCAGCAATAGAGTTGTCGATGGATGGAATAGTCTACCAGCCGAAGTTGTTCAATCTACTACAGTTAAAAGCTTCAAATTAAACTTGCAATCGGTCGATTTAGAAACAATAACAAACAAGCTTACTATTTAATAGTAAGCTTTCTTGGTTGTTATTTTAAATAATAAAAAACGTTAATAGTAACTATTAACGTTTTTTATTATTTAGTGACTAAACTAACTTGTTCATTAATTAATTTATACCGGCTGTCATAGATATTGCCTGGCGCTTTATCTCAACAGCATTAATTAATAATAAGTAACATCTGGAACAATTATGGAAAATATTTCTCATTACAAAAATACTTCGGATCAATATCTGAACCAGATGCATCTATGAGCACATTATTTAAACCCGCACTACATTTGATTAAATCATTATTGATCTTTCTAGAGCTTTTGACATCACAACATTCTTCTAAGAAAGTGTATGGAGTAAAAAATAATAATTTACTTTGGTTCAAAAATTATTTATCAAACAGAAAACAGTATGAAATTCAGTGTGAAACAGAAAAATGCACCATAACTTGCAATATTCCCCTCGATCTTAGGACCGTTATTATTTTACTCTATGTAAATAATTTATATTCAACATCAAACTTATTAAGTTTAACCTTATTTTCGGATGACTTAAAATTTGTATTTAAGCCATTCATTTTTGTTGGATTGCAACCACAAACTGAGTAGCATTGTGATGATTTTGTTGCCGTGTGCCAATGGTGGATAAAAAGTGCTGTAGCAACTTTTTTATCCACTGTTGTAATTTCAATTTTGTGAAGAACTGTAATTTTTTCATAATTTGTCGTAAATAATTTTACAATTAAGTTGCAAAGGAGTAGTTCTTCTTTTAATTCATTTAATGTTTTTTTTTTGTAGGAGAATCTTATTGGTCTGCAAAATAAAGTGGATAATGTATGAGGATTGGACCAAATAATCTTCTTTTCACCAATACTATATCCAGATAACTGCGATGGCATAAATCAAACGAGGAATGAGCTGGCTTCATCTTTAATATTTCTTTTTAATTTTTCTGTTATTGTTTGAATATATATGCTTTGGTCAGTTGATCCATCAAAGCCAACTTTAGACCTTAGTTTCATTGTTATAGGATCTTCGAAGGAGTTAATAACTTCTGCCTGGCATTCTATCAAACGTAGTGCTGTGTGATTGACCAATGCTTTCATGTTGACTTCTGCAGCATAGTGAGTGTGAGCCCATACATTATATTCTGGAAAACAAACTTCTTTTGCTTTCCGTACATTTTTATAAGCTGGATATAAATTACAGTCTTTTCTTACAGCATTGTTCCTTAGGAGCTGATAATCAGACTTGCTTATATTAAAGCGGGCGTAGCGCTGTGGTTAGAGCGCTTGTTTTAAAAGCATGAGATCCCGGGCTCGAGGCAAACTCTGGGTATATTTTGCATCATTGGTAAGGAAGGAGGTCTGAACTTCCTATTTAAATGCTCTTCCGCGGTGCTCTGTGACGAGACCGTTAGGTCTTATTGGGGCACCTAAAAATAAAAACAAAAAAATCATCTCAGTTTGTTGGGGAATAATAAAGTCTTTGCAAAGCAGGGCTAAATTTTTCTTCATAAATTTATCATTGTATTGCCCACTTGCAGCGCATCGTTTACTGTATTCAAAGATAAGTATTGAAAATTTAACCTTAAATTCAGTATTTCCAAGATGTTCATTAATTCTATACTTATTGTATTATTTTGCCCGCTATGTTATATTTAATATTTTTGCAAATCAATGTAAATAAAAATAAATGAAGCAAGTAGTAGCAGCTGATATAAAAATATTTTTAAAATATGTATATAAAGGCTTCAAAATATCTATATAGTATACCAGGATATTACAAGACTTAATACTTTTTGTCTTTTTCAAACCAAAAATTATACTTTAATTTTTTTTTAATAAAGTATTTAAAGTTATTATAATTTATTTGTTTATTTACCTATTTTAATCTAGCAACTCTTAAAATGCAGAAAATAGATAGTTCAACAATAAAACAGTTTTAAATGCGCAATATTTGATAAAATGTTAAATTATAAATTTTGTTTAACATAAATTTAACATTATAATATAAAATTATAATGTTAAATTAATGTTAAACTATAGATTTTGTAAACAAAACTTTGAATCTTTTTTTTCATTTTTAAAATTTCTATATTGTCGCACTTTAACCAACATATTTATCTACTCATTCATATTCTAATTGTATGTAAACTACAAAATATTTAATATATTAATAATGACTTGAAATAAGTTAAACGTGAAAAATTAGACTTTAGTTTTTTTACTTTTGTCTAGTCATTGGCCCACTTTGCATAATGGAGCTCGGTGATGAGACAAATTGATGTCTTCTTCTTGTTCCAGCTATTTTTTTTACTATTTATGCTATTTTATAAATTGTAACTTTCTACGGGAAAATTAAAAAAATAAATAAAAAAAAGTAACTCTTTTTGATTTTGTGCAGACATCCAAAGAACGTCCTATTTGCTTGAAATGTATAGTTTTTTAGTTTATTTTTATTTTTGTTTTAGATGTTCCAAGAACGGTTTTGTCACAGAGCACTGCGGAAGAGCATTTAAATAAGAAGTTCACGCCTTCTTTCTTACCGATGTTGCTAAATATGTCGAACAATGCACCTCTTGTTTATAAAACAAGTTCTTTAATCACTGCGCCAAGGCTGCTATGTTAACACTATTAAAGTAGTTAACAACATAACTGCTTGATCTAACAAAACATTAAAAAATTAAACTCGATATTTTTCTTATGGATCTATAAAAGATTCATCTATGCTTTCAATAATTTCAATGATCTATAAATGATTTATTTTTCATAATCATTACTTTTTATTTTGTTAATATATTTTTAATGTATTAGGCTTAATACTTCCTTTATATGTTGTTTATCTTTTAAACTTATTCTTTTGTTACTTTCTATTTGTACTTTAGTAAATGAATTAGTTGAATAAAGAATTTAACCATACCCACATGAATTTAGTTGAATAAACAAGTTAACCATGTCCAATGTTCATGTCCATGACATTTAATGTGTTACCAGTTATACTGTTCATTTTTTTTTTTTTTTTTTTTTTTTGTTCTTTTATCTTTATAATGTTGTGATTCTACATGATTGGTACAAAGTTATAATGTTTTTAAAATATATAATACTAAAAATATATCACAATTTTATAGAATACAAAAAATATGATTGTAGGGTATCATTAATATTAAAAGAACGCGGGAAACTTGCAGAAGACCAGATGGTCTTGTCATCAAGAAACCGCTTGTACTTGTAATATTTTTTGTATTTTCGTTTTACAATGTATCAAGTTTCACAAAATACTTCATTTTATATTAGGTTCACATATAATAAAATGTAGAATTAAAAATTTGGTAAATACTGTTTGTAGTACACATAATACACATAAATATATTATTAAGCATAAATATAATTATTATTGACTTATATTGATTTTTTATATTAATATATATTATTGAAGTTTTTTGGATTTTGTTTTCAATTATAATTTTGGTTTTACTTTCAGTTTTAGTTTAGTGAAAGTTTAAATAATTGCTGATATTTAAAACAAACTTTTTTAGTAAGATTTTCAAACAATTTATGTTATCTAACTTTGTAATAATGGCATTTTTGGATATCAGTTTATTATAAAGATAGGGCCCGCGAAACGAAATTGTGAAACGCGACAGTTTTGTTTTTCTGAATGGTACATTAAAGTTTCCTACTTCTCTAGTGTCATATCTATTTTTATTGCTTTTAAAAAATTCATTTAAGAAATGTGGTGGGACAAGCCCGAGTTTAAATTTTAGCATGAAGAGTAAGTTTTGGTAAATGTTAATTCTATAGACGTTTAGTGCATTTAGGAGTTTAAACAAAGGTTCAGCATGAGTGAGTTTATCTTTTTTATAGACAATTCTAATGGCATGTTTTTGATGTTGATAAAGTGATTTTAAATTAGATTTATGGGTACTGGCCCATGCTATATTACCATATGTATAATAGGTATGTATAAATGAAAAATAAAGATGTTTTAGATTTTCTTGGGATAACATTGGCCTAGCTTTGTATAGCACGCCAATGTTTTTGGTTATTTTAGTATTTAAATAGTCAATATGGGCTTTCCATGAAATATTTTGATCAATAAGTAAACCTAGGAATTTAGTTGTTGTGGTTCTTTCGATATTTTTGTTTTTTATTCTTAGCAATGGCAATATATTTGGTAGTTTTTTCTTTTTTTGATTTGGATGGAATAAGATGTAATTAGTTTTTTCTGTGTTTAAAGATAGTTTATTAGATTTTAGCCAATTATTAAGTTTTTCGAGTTCAATATTCATTGTTTCAAAAGGTTCTGTAATTGACGGGTAAGAATAAAATAAATTAGTGTCATCTGCAAACATTATGACATCAAGTTTGTTTGAGGCTTTCGGAAGATCATTAATGTATATTAAAAAAAGGGAGCTGGAATGGAACCTTGGGGAACGCCACATTTGATCTTTAGCATTTTTGAACAGATATTTTCATCAGTATTTAAACATTGTTGTCTGTTTAGCAAAAAGTTTTTAAACCAGAGTAATGCAACATTTTTTACGCCATATTTTTCCATTTTTTTGAGCAGGATTTCATGATCAACAGTATCGAATGCTTTTGATAGATCTATAAACATTCCTAGAACAAATTCATTATTATCAAATGAGTAGTTGATGCTATTTACAAGATCTATGATTGCATGTTCGGTTGCATGTTGTTTTTGAAATCCAAACTGTTTTTTATTTAAGATGTTATTGTTTGTTAAATATATGTACAGTTTATTATAAATTATTCGTTCGAGAAGTTTTGAGAATACAGGAAGGATTGAGATTGGTCTATAGTTGTTTAGTAAATATGGTTCTCCAGTTTTATATATAGGTACAATTTTTGCAATTTTTAATTTCTCTGAAACGGTTCCTGTTATAATTGAAGATTTAAATATTTCGAAGAGGGGTTTTTTTATTATCGGAAAGATGTTTATTACTACATTGCTACAAATTTCATCAATTCCTGGTGCTTTGTTGATTTTTAAAGAGTTTTTTGCATTTTCAAGTTCTTCATAGCTTAGTCCATTGAAAATTAGTTCGCTATTTAGATCTGTAAGGTAGTTTTCAAAGGAGTCATTTGTAGTTAAAATTTCAGACGCCATGTTTGGGCCTATGTTTGCAAAGAAATTTTTGAAGTGTTCGGCAATTGAGTTCTTATCATCGTGTTCGGTTTCATTTATAATGATTCTATCTGGTAAACTATTTGTTTTTTTGTTTTTTTTCCCGATTATTTCTTTCATAATGTTCCATGTTTTTTTCATGTCTCCATTTGTTTTTTTAAGTAATTTAGAGTAGTAAATTTTTTTAGAATGTTTTTTGATTTTTTCGAAAAGATTTTTCTATTGTTTATAAGTAGATAGGTTAATCTCATTTCTGTTTTTCAAATATTTAACGTATAGTTTTTGTTTTGTTTTTGAAGATTTTTTAATACCGCTGGTGATCCATGGACAGCTCAAATATTTTACTTTGATTTCTTTTTCTTTGATTGGAAAATGATTATTGTAGTGCTTTAGAAAAATATCTGTAAAAGTATTATATGCAGAGTTTGTGTTCCCAAGGTTACATTCTTGATACACTTTAACCCAATCTACTGCCGATAGTGTGTCTTTAAAATTTTGAATTGAAAATTTATTTATTTTTCTTTTATAAGTTATTTTTTTCAAATTATTATTTACTCTTGTATCATTTTTTATTGTAAAGTAAATTGGAAAATGATCTGTTATATCAATTTTTACTATTCCTGCTTTTAAGGAGGTATCTAGAAATGAGTTTGTTAGTATGTTATCTATGGCAGAAATAGAATTTAAGGTTACCCGTGTCGGTTTATTAATAATTGGTAAAATACAATGTTGAAACATGTTATCAAAAAATAATTTAGTAATCGGAAACTCATTGTATTTTAAACAATCTATGTTGAGGTCCCCAATACAGAATAACTTTTTTTGTTCTTTATTGATTTTGAGAAAAATTTCTTCTAGATATTTAGAAAAAGTTTTAATATTACCTTCAGGTGGTCTATAACAGGTAGAAACAATAATATTTTTAAACTTGGAGTTTATGATTTCTATTGTAAAGACCTCACTATCGGCATTAGAAATGGAGTGGTCTTTTCTTACTTTTATTGCTTGATCATTCCGAACATAAGTTGCAACTCCTCCTTTTTTGCATGTTTTTCTTTCAGAAGATATTAATTTATAATTGGGAATTTGAAAGTTAGTATTATTTTGGATTAATTCGTCAGAACACCAAGTTTCTGTTAGACAAATCATACTAAATAAGTAATTACAATCAATTAGGAAGTGCTTAAGTTTGTCAAAATTTTTATTTATGCTTCTTATATTTATGTGAATTACTGTAAAATTATTTTTAATAGTTTCAAGTTCAGTTTTAAAAGTTTCAGTTTTAACATATCGAGAATCAAAATTATTCATTTGAAAAATATGCGTATCAGCGTCAATGAGTATATTATTAGCAGTTTCATCTATAGGTAAACAGTTGCAATTGCAATCTTAGGATCCTGGGATCCCGAAATCTCGGGATCCCGGTATTTTTTATAATCCCGAAATCTCGGGATTGCCTAGTTTCAACCCTGGGATTCCCTATAAGGTTAAACAAAACAAAGCTTAATGAAAATATATATAAAAACAACAACAATTTGTGCGTCTGGATAATTTAATTTAAAACTATATAAAATTGCAGTCAAAAGTTATCGAAAAGGTTTGATCTAGAGAAAAAAATTAGTAAAAATTTTCGCAATATATATGGTTAGTTATTCTGTTCTGCTCTGTAATTCTGCAAAATAAACTTTATTCAAACTGATAAAAAAGCTTAAAACTTAGACTCTTAAAATTAAAAATTAAATAAGCATGACGTATGTGGATTCTACAATTAAAAGTATACTTTTAATTATAAAATCCACATACGTCATGCTTATTTAATTTTTAAAAAGTTATAACTCAGCTCTTGAGAAATATTTTTTACGGGATGGGAAACGCCAGGCAACAATGTTTGAATTGCCAAACTGCAAGAAGGTTTTAAAAAGGTGGATAGGTTTTTAAAGGAGGTGGTACAACAAAAGGGCTTCATAAATGCAAGTTGACAGTGTATAATCTGAAGGTCGAAAGTCCTAGTTAACTTAATATTACCGAAGAAAGCACATCAGCGCTGGGATGTTCAATACAAAAATTCGTAACCGTTTGGACGATGAAACTTAAGACGCGTTGTGCTTCCTTGAGTTGCATTTCAAAGCTTACATATTTCCTTATTTCTAATATAATTTCTTAACATTAATTGAAATATTAAATTAACATGTTTTTCTCTCATGCGTGTAACAATGTTATGTAAACTGCCAATAAGTGTCATTTGGGTATGGTTAACTTGTTACTCGCCATCATAAAACTCGATATCTGAAAATTACAAAAGGGACAAAAAAGAACTCATATTTATAAACATGTCAATGCTAGAGAAAATTGTTCAATGTATTATATATAGATGTTTTTTATATTTAGATGTTATTATATATAGATTATATATAGATGTTTTTCCGTTTTTGCTTCCGCATTTTATAAATTTGTTTTAAAATTTAAAGAAAGTATGTTTATATAACTTATGTATTATATAAAGTATGTTTATAAAACTTGATATGAAACTTGATAACACTTAATTACATGGAACAATTTTCATAAGCATTGACATATTTATAATTATGAGCCTATTCGTCCCTTTTCTAGTGTTCAGATATCCGCTTCTTGTAGTTTTTATAACGAGAGTTACACTCTGCACATTCAAATTTATAAATCACAAACAATATGACCTCAAGAGAATCAGGATCTTTAGAAAAAGAGAATTTCAAAAATTTACGCCAGGTAAATACTAGTTTAACAGCTACCGAACGGATTTGGGTTTTTTTGTATGTATTAAATTGTATAACAAATTGTGGTATAATATATATGTGATTATATATATATTAAAAAAAAATTTATAATTTTATTTTGGCGAAGTACCTGATACTTTTTTAAGATAGGGTTTAAAAAACCCAGACTCAATTTGTTTGAACAGGATTTGGGTCTCATTATTATGGACCCAAAATAATGAAACCCAGACCCTGTTAAGACCCAAACCAGCTAACCAAACAGGTCGGGTATGGATCTTATAATATCTAAATCTGTTAAAACCCGTTACCCAACTAATATTTCTTAACTAATGCCGTTCAGAACTTTGATATTGCACAATTTTTCTGAACTAATTATTATTAGATATCAAGGCCGACAACACCGGGGGGCCAGGTTTTTTCTTTGGCAATATTTGCGATGTTATTGAGGAAAGAGGTGTGAAATTCCTAGATAAGTATTCTTCCGGGGTCTTTTAAGACAAGACTGTTGGATTTTCTTGGAGCACTTAAATAACCAAGAAAAAAAATTTTGTTAGCTTTTTTTACAAAAATCAAATAAAAGCATTTTATGAGGAAGACACACGGGGCAGCATTGTTTGCAATGCTCCGGATTTGATAGAAGTATCTGTTGGGTACTCACTCTTTATTGTATTTTTTTATGATTTGATATGCTTTAATTTTTAAGGATTTTTATCATTAAAAGCTGAGAAAAACTACTTCAATTACATCTTGACTGTTTGCGGCTATGATGACACACGCACTTAATATCCCACACTCACTAATGTCAAGCACTATTTTTTTTCTTGTTTTAGCATGACCGGGGCGGGTCTGGATCCAGATCCGTAATATCGGGATAAGTTTATTGGTACCCAACCTAAACTCAGGTCTTCATATACTAATCGGATCTAATACGATATCATAAACGTACTGTTAAAAAAAAACTATTTAAAAAAGCATACTTATAATAATAAACAATCTTTTTTATTTTAAACAAGCAAAATATAACTAGTAAAATCATTTTTTTAAAAGTTTCAAAATATATAAGCAATAATACAATTAAAAAAAACAATATTAAAAAGGTAAAGTCCAAAAAACTTTTTTAAAAGATTTGAAAATCTGCATAAAAAAATTTAAAAATATTTTTAAAATATAAAGTTTTATGTAGCAGTATTTTCTTCTCGAAAGTATTTTTTTCTTCATTGATATATGTTTAAAATTAACTTAAAATAAAAAATAGAATGTTTTCCATCAATTTTTTCATATCTGCTTTGTAAAAATCAGTTATTTATAACTACTCCGCCTGTTTTCAACATCGTATGAAGCCATTATCTACAACACAGAGTCTTCAATATTTTATAAGCAATATTAACTGATTTATACAACTTGCGCATTAGTTGGAAAAACTTTGTTGCAATACAAAGTTTTATTGCAACAATTAAAATTAAAATTATTTGCAACACATAGTTGTAAAACAAGGATAAATATTTGATTTTAATTGGTTCGCCAAAATACGTTTTGTTCCGTTATTTAACTCGTTAACTCTTTTACTTTTTGCAACCTTATAGTTGAGATTATTTATTTGGTTGGTTAAATATTTAAAACAATTAAAATCTTATGAACTATTTTCTTGATGGTTACTAACCTTTGGTATTTTTTCTTTCTCTTTAAAGATAACTGCCATTGAAGTTTTTTCTTTTGTAGATAGAGTTCTTTGTATTGCCGATTTCTTAAAAATGCGTTTTCTGATAGTGGGTATTGAAAAACAATATATCAATGGGTTTACCATTGATTTTGAGCTCGATATTGTAAAACTCCAATCTTTAAAAATGTTCAAAAGATTCTCATCATGATCAGTATATATGATTGGTATAATGAAAACAATCATAAATGGAAGGTAACATAAAATCAATAAAAAGAGACTAAAAAATGCAATTAAATTTCCTCTCTTTTCTCGCTTTGATTTGCATTCACTGCGTATCGAATTAATTGATAAAATGCTATTAGATTGGTATTTTTGCGTAATAGTTATCGTCAGATATTTAATTTTTGCATAAGCAAAGAAACTTCCTTTCAAACATATAATCATTAAGCAGATTTCAAAATAAATTAAAAACTGTAACTTACTGATTGCAATAAAACAACTGTTCATAACTATAACGAAGATAAACACGGTAGCCGAAATACTAAAACATCGCTTCTTTTTTGGTATAACCGCTCGATGATAGTAAAATGGATAAAATATTGCAACACATCTATCAATTGTTATGACAAACACCATTATGAATGATATCATTCCAAGGGAATGGTTAATAGTCACCATTACGCCAAACAAAAAACAAGTCACATTTTTGCGCAAAATAAAATATAAATATACCATACGTATGGGAATGCTGCAAACTCCAACCAAAATATCAAAAGCTGCTGTTTGCAATATTATATAATTTGACGGAGTATGAAGACTCGGATACTTACAAATTATGTACAAAACCACAATGTTAAGAGAAACAATAATCATTGCAATAATGGCGTCTGTTGTCATAGAAGCAATTACGTTTACTTGATAACTTTTTCTCAAAGAATAGTTTAATGAAGCAAAACTACAAAAAATTTGAAAATAGCTGGTATTCTCCATTTTTTACTTAGCATAATAAAAAAATCTTTTATTTTGCGATATAACTATTACATTTATATCGATATAACGACTTAGTTATAAAAACGTCATTAAGATTTTCCGTTTGCAATTGTAATAAAACCTTCATTAGCGTCATTTTCGCTTTTATCAATTTGTGAAATCCATTAATTGTATATTTAGAAACAAAACTGCAAAAGTAGCTTATTAAAAACTACTAATTTTATTAATTAATAAACTAATTTTCTTATTCTTATTTTATTATCTCTATGATTATTATTATTATCTGTTATTAACATTTTTGTTTCAATATATGTTTTAGAAATTAATTTTGATAGTTAAAAAAACGAGAGAATTAAAAAAAAAAACGTTTAGGTGGTTCGGTCTTTTAATACAATTTTTGAATGTTACAGAGTTTTTGCTAAAATCTATTAGATTGTATATAATGAATAAGGTTTAGAAAATGAAAGCACACGAAAATATTTTATTTACGGGGGCTAGAAAATCCTTTGTAGTTTCATGTCCTTGTGTTTACAGCCTGGTGCTAGGAAAAGCCGAATAAAATAATAATGAAAATATTTTTTCATTATTAAATTTGAATAAGTAAAAATAAAAAGAATCAATAAACTATTTTTAATAATATCGTTTTACTGCTTGCCAAGTGAATTAATACTCTTATTCATTTAAATAAAAATAACATTTAAAAAAAAGCATCACTTATATGTAATTGATGATAAGGTGTGATAAGAAATAACATGATTTACTTAATGTCACACCTCAATGTGATTTTGAAAATGTAGCATTTTATTATTTAAATTAATAATTATTTAAATTTTTTTATCCATATATTTTTACAAAATAATTTTTAACAATATATATTTTAATAATATTTTAACAATATATATACTTTTATACTTTTATTACAAACACCTTCAAAATTCTTTAAAATAATTGAAATAATATTAAGATAATATTATATATAATAATATTAAGATATATTTGATGTACAAAGTTCAAATACAATTTATATTTTATGTATTACAATTTATATTTTAAGAAGAAAAGATAAATTGAAAAAAAAAATAAATCTTTGGTTATGTAGACAAAGGAAATTCGCAGAAAACTGTGTGAAGTCGTGTCATCGAGAAAACTGTGTGAAATCGTGTCATCGAGAAAATTGTGTGAAGTCGTGTCATCGAGAACCCTTTATTTTATTAATTTCATGAGAAATTTATTTATTTTTTTTTTTATCAATAATTTCTTCAATTGAAACGGTATAAAACTTAATTAAAGGTGTCTTTCTTATTCCCCCATCTTTACAGCCGATATACTATCTTGAAAATAATGAAATAAAATTTTACAATCGAAATTCAGCACAACCGGTATTGAAACATTTTGAAGCCATATTAAGAGCACAAAGACTTGTTTTGTTTTTTGTGTGAAAATGTTTTTGTGCTTAAAAGCAAATCCGTATTTTTCAATCGATCAGCTTCAACTGCAATTTTGTTAGTAGTTTGACTCGCCAACACGCAGCTTTTAAAGTTAGAAAGAGCTATTCATCTGTTGACTCTCGAAGATTTGTTAATGTTAACCCAGCTGAAATGATTAGTTAAAGATGATGATGTTAAATAAACACATATCTTCTATGCTTGGATTCTAATAGCTATTTGATACTCTTGATCTAACAATAACAGATTTTTTTTTTTTTAATGATCGGTCTTGTGTCTACCTTGTTGGGACCAATAATTCGTCAAGCTTTCTTTTCTAGACATTTAAGTTGCATAACTTTTTTTGATTTACTGTTTCCCAAATTTCAACACCATACAGTGGTGGCCAAAAGTCCTGGAACATCATATTTTATGTTATGAAATCAATATACTTGTGTGAAAAACAATTTATTAGTAAATTTTTTTGTTTTTTTTTCAATAAAATAAGTGTTTATAACAATTTTAAAGATGATAGGTACATGCACATACATGATAAAAGTTCAATATTTAATGGAAGGATAGTTATTGTCAGTTACCATTTGGATACATTTTGGCATGCTGTTAACAAGTTTTGTACAATAGTCTGGTGTAATTTCATGGATCCACACTGATTTGATTGCTTCAACTAAATCATTATAGGATCTAGGCTTTTTGGCAGCAACTTTTACTTTCATAATATGCCAACAATTTTCAATAACATTAAGATCTGGTGATGACCCAGGCCAATTTTCAAGGGTTTGAATTCCTTCATCAGCAAACCACTTCTTTACAATTTGGCTGTGTGGCATGGTGCACCATCCTGTTGGAAATAAGTGCAGTTCAAGATCTGCATGAAAGGTGGCAACTTCCTCTTCATAACATCCAAATAGGCTTTGCTGTTTATTGTGGTATTCTTGGGCATTATCCATAATGGCCCACGTCCTTTGGCAGAAATAGCACCCCAAACCATACAAGACACAGGAGCCTTGACACTGCTAACTGTATATTTTGGCATATATCTACAGTTTTTTGGTCTTCTTACAAAGTTGTTTGTAACATTAAATTATTTAATACATGTTTCATCAGAAAAAAGAACTTCAGACCAATTTTCTCCAGTCCAATTTTTGAAGCGCTGACAAAATGTTTTTCGATCTTTTAGGTTTTTTAATGATAAAAAAGGTTTTTTTTCTGGCTTGCATGCCTTCATTTTAAAATCAACCAAAAGCCTTCTTCTAACTGTTCGGTCACTTACTTTTTTCTCAATAAAAATTTCTTTTGAAATCTCGTGTGCAGATCCGGCCAATAAGTTTGTCAGTTCTTGAGGTGGTTGCTCTGGGCCTGGCTGATCTCATTTTTGAAGTAAAATTTAATTGGAGCTCTTCTTTATGCCTTTTTAAAGTTCTACTTACAGTTGATAATGAACAACCAAGCTTTTCAGATATTTCTCTTTGAACTAAACCTTGTTCATATAATGCAGCAATAATTCCTCTTTTTTAGGTGAATGTTCTGGCATAATATAGCTGATAAATTGCTTATGAATAATAAAAAACAATAATAAGTTGCGCAATATACAAATATGTTACTATAAACATATTGCTATGTAAAAACAAAAGCATCAAACCTTCAAAATTTATAATTTAGATCAAAAATTAATTTTTTTTGGTCGTTAAATGTTTTGTTCTAAGACTTTTGGCCACCACTGTACATTAAATGGCTTCTAATTAAAGCATTGTATAAAACAGCTTTAGATGTATAAAACATTGTATAAAACAAATTTATATGGCAATAATATTAAGCTTTCTAAGTAGGTAGTTGTATAAAACATTGTATAAAACAAATTTATAAGGCAATAATATTAAGCTTTCTAAGTAGGTAGTTATATAAAACATTGTATAAAACAAATTTATATGGCAATAATATTAAGCTTTCTAAGTAGGTAGTTGTATAAAACATTGTATAAAACAAATTTATATGGCAATAATATTAAGCTTTCTAAGTAGGTAGTTGTATAAAACATTGTATAAAACAGCTTTATTTGTATAAAACATTGTTTTTTGATGTTTTTACTATATGGTGATGTCTTTTCATTTTGTCATATTAAGGAATACCAAGTGTGCTAACGCTTTTCTTTACAATTTTCTCCTCATTGGGTAACCTTGAGCCCTTATAACTTCATTTCTATATTTTTTGCGCTACCAAATGTTATTATTTTCGCTTTTTCAGAATGAAGGGATAGTCCATTCGTTAAAAACTAATTACTAATTTTTTCTAATTCCATGCAATATATTTCCAGTAACTGTTCAATAGATTCAGCCTTTGCAATAATTATTGCAAAGGTTGAATCTATTGACAATTAATTGTTGTATTGCCAGAAAAAAAAAAGTAAGTGTCTAATACTGTTGCACCCAGTAGGTCGTAAATATAAATTTTAAAAAATAATTATATGGAAATTTTTTAATATCTTATGAGTAATTAATTTGTCAAAAAAGAAAAAAATTGCCCAACATGTTCCTTGACCAACACCTTACTTTACTACTCTTTCTTTTAATGTAGCACTTCCAATAATGACTACCTTCTGTTTGTTAAATATGAAGAGATCCATTTTAAAGTTTTATCACCGGCACCTATATGTGAATAATGAGTTTGGGGAAAGAAATTTGAAAAAATTTTTTTTTTGCGGGATTATGCGGGATTGCAGTTTTTGGAATTTAAAACTGATCATTTAAGTATAAATGCAAGTGGGGTTAAATTTTCAAGTTATTAAAATCTAAAACTTTTAAATATTTTTTCTATATATTACCATATGCTATGAAACATGAATAACTTTTTTTTTGAAAAATAAACATATTAGTGGGGTAAAGTGCGTTAAAAGTATTTTTATTAAAGTGTTAAAATTATATTTTAACACTTTATTAAAAATAAAGTGTTAAAATATAATTAAAACCTACAAATTTAAAACAATTAGACTGTCATTGTTTGAATGACGTCACTTTAAGTTCAGAAAATATATATAGTTGAATCCAGTTAACTCAGACCCTGGATAAGTCGGACTTTTACTAAGTCAGACAGAATTTAAATTCCCCTTGAACATTCTCTATCAACTTACTGTAAAATCATCCGCTTAAGTCGTACCCTGGTTAAGTCGGACCATTCGCTAACTCGTACTGTTATTTTTTTTTTTTTTTTTTTTTTTATTTAATTCACCTCCTCAAGGCCGAGAAGGCCACTACAGACGAGGAGGCTACTTATTTGTGGCTATAACCCTCTCTCAACTCTATAACTCCGAAACACGAACCTTGACGAACAAGGCCGCTGCGCGGAGAAACGAGTTGAGCGCGGTACTACCAGGGACGTGGTGGGGATCGAACTCGGAACCACTCGTTTATGAAGCGAGCGCTCTACCACTACACCACTACCGCATTTGAGGTTCCTTCAGCAAAAAACTTCGCTTGACTAGGACTATTTTTTTAATTGCATATAACAAGTA